AAATGCTCAAAATAGACTTACCATTTGACCCAGGAATTCCACTTCTAGGAATTTACCCTAAGAATGCAGCAGCCCAGTTTGAAAAAGACAGACGCACCCCTATGTTTATTGCAGCACTATTTACAATAGCCAAGAAATGGAAGGAAACCTAAATGTCCATCAGTAGATGAATGGATAAAGAAGATGTGGTACATATACACAATGGAATACTATTCAGTCATAAGAAGAAAACAAATCCTACAATTTGCAACAACATGGATGGAGCTAGAGGGTATTATGTTCCGTGAAATAAGCTAAGCGGAGAAAGACAAATACCAAATGATTTCACTCATATGTGGAATATAAGAACAAAGAAAAACTGAAGGAACAAAACAGCAGCAGAATTACAGAACCCAAGAATGTACTAACAGTTACCAAAGGGAAAGGGACTGGGGAGAATGGGAGGGTAGGGAGGGATAAGGGTGGGGAAGAAGAAAAGGGGTATTATGATTAGCATGTATAATGTGGGGGGTGGGGGAAAGGGGAGAGCTGTGCAACACAGAGAAGACAAGTAGTGATTCTACAACATCTTACTAAGCTGATGGACAGTGACTGTAATGGGGTTTGTGGGGGGGACTTGGTGAAGGGGAAAGCCTAGTAAACATAATGTTCTTCATGTAATTGTAGATTAATGATCACAACAAAAAAATTTTCTAGAAGAAAGAAAAAATATTTAAAAGAAAGAAATAGGTGAAGGGGATAAAGAGGCACAAAATCTTAATTATAATATAAAGCCACAGGGGTGAAAGTACAGCATGGAGAATATAGTTAATAATATTGTAAACCTTTTTTATGTTGCAGATAGTAACTACAGTTATTGGGGTGAGCATTTAATAATGTAGATAACTGTAAACAAAGAAAATTTAATTTAAAACAAAATACTGAAGGGTAGCAGACAATGTCACCCCCAAATATGTCTCTTTGGTGTTAAGTATTATTTTGAGCTTATTATTTTGAAAAACAGGAGATGCAGGAGAGGCTCTGACAACAGAGTAGAAGTTAAACTTTGTAAGGGACAGTTACACTTACAAAGGAAATTTCCATTTGTAAGGGTGTCCTCCCTCTAAGGAAGAGAAGGATGATTAAATCACATGAGAGCTTATCCGTTACTTAAATCTGCATGACAAACCTTACCTTGCTTTTCCTGGTACCCTTCCCCACAACTGGCCACTGTGCACCTTTCTTTGTTTTGTCTTTAGCCGAGATGGTATTTAAGCCAGTGGCTTAGGCCACCTCAGGGAGTTACTGTATTTCCCTGGGCCTCTCCCATGTATAACTGAGGTATACGTGTTAATCAACTTCTGGTTTACTTTTGTTAGTCTTTTATTATGGAGTCTCAGCCAAGAACTTAGAAGGACAGAGGGAAAGTTATTTTTCCTCCTCTACAATTCTTGTATTATAATTCAGGTTCACGCCTTATCATTTCAACAGGCTAGGTGCTAGGCTATTCACCAGGCCCAGAATTGTGTCATTTGCCAGAATTCTATCATTTAATCAGAATTGTTTCATATAGTAATAATTGTATCATTTACCTGAATTGTATTATTAGAACTTAAGCCTATTAAAGAAAACAGGTTTGTATAGTTATCAAAATAAAATGAACTTGCATAAATTCTTGACCAAATAAATGGGTGAAATAAAGAGAGCCTAAATTTGTCATTTTGCTCAAATGGTAGACTAACTTTTAATAATTTACTCCCTCCAAAATCATTTTTTCTAAGGGTTTTTTGTTTTCTTAACCCTGAACTGAATATTTTATAGGCATACGAAGATTAGTTGTTTTTAGGAAAGGAATTGTGGATTCTGTGGTCTGAAATATGTATGTATTTTTGAACTGCAGCTATCTTCCCAGTTTGTATGACAGAAATCTAACAAGTCTGTTGTATACAGGAAAACAGGAGTAAGAAGCCCTGGAAACATGGGGCTCTTGATGGCCATGATGACAGAGCCCTGCCAGCAGACATATTTCTAAAAGTCTTGTTAGATTTTTAAATCTAACTTGGGTTCTGTGATCTGAAAAGTTTTACAGCTCCAAGCAGCAAGAAAATTTGAAAAAAATTGAGACAAGTAACTTTAATTCTTGTCTATTGATTAAAACATTAAAAGGTAGCAAAAGGACCCTCACTCTCACCTCTGCCCTTTCATCTCCTACTCAGAGGCCTACAGATCACCAGGAAAACCAAGAAACGCTGTGTTTTGCTGTTTCTGAAGCACAGGTTTTGGCTGTCTCTCTTCTTTTTCTTGACTATATTCTCAGAAAAAGAAACTCAAACATCTTTTAAGGAATAGGAAAATCGAAGATGTTTTTATGAGAGAACTGGGTAGACACAAGCCAGAGGCCCTCAGGATCATTTCATGAGTGAAAAAACAAAGCCAGAGCTTTGTTAAGGAAGAAGAGTTTTGCAGTTAAATGGAGTAAATGGCAGTGAATTTATACAGATCAAATATATAATTGAGAGGTAATAAAGATAAAGTAACTGTGCGATGACGACCTTTATATTGTTGCCTAAAATGTTAAGGAAGATAAACAAAAAAAATAAACTGTTCATAATTCTGCCCTTCTAATGAATTATTTCTGTGGTTCTAATTTCTCTTTCCACAGATGCTGTGGATACTTTAATTTTAAAGCCTACTGTCTTTAACTTTCTGGAGTTTAATTACTAACAATTTAACAATTTAAAATGTTCTGCTTCATAAACAAAGATAAGGAGTTTGGGGTTTTTTAAATGATGAGAATATTAACCTCAGTCTCGGAGATGATGCCTGTCAATCAGATTATTGGTGGCCTTGTTGCCCTGAAGAAGCAAAACAGTTCTTAACAAACAGTTCAAAACAGTATTTGATGAAATCTTAGCCTCGTATGGTTAAAATCATGATCTCAGGGGAGGTGATGGCCAAGAAGGGTCTCCAATTCAATATAATTTTTAAAGTACTTTTCCCTTTTTTCCTTCTTGCTTAATGGCCTCATTATTTAGCAAACTGCTCCACACAGAAACATGGGCAAGTACTGTCCTAGTGGCTTCACTCACAACGATTCCCAGTTGCATGGATTCTACCAAAGAATTTTCTTTCTTATCTTCCTTCCACGATTACCTCAGGTCCTCACCCCTCCCCCACCCGGTTTTAGCCTACAGCCGATCTGCCAGGTAATAGTATTCTCACTGTCCTTTCTTCCACTCCTCTTCACTCCACCTTAGACTCTGCCATTACCATGACTGTCCTGAAACTAAACTGTTTAAAAACAATTATAAGATTTATCCTGCTTTCAAGGGCAATGCTGCTAAAGTAGAAACTCAGAAAGGCACATAAGGCCTAATTCTCCAAATAATAGGCTAATGAGTTCCTTGATTTGGTAATGCTTATATAAATGGTGAGACTTAATGTCAACATGTAGTATTAATAGATTTATAAGATCAATTTTAAGGAAGTCTTTTCTTTCTAGGGATTTTATTTACATTGACTTTCTCTCCCTCTAACAAGAGAGTGATTCTCAAATGTTTTTGTATCTGAATATGGAGTGCAGTCCCCCAGGCTTAAGTGCCACCTGCTTATGCTTGGGGTTCCAGGGTAATAATTATGTTCCCTTCACCTTCAAACAAGTTCTGGTTTGGACAATAAATTATAAGGTCATCCTGGGCATAGGTCAGTTTAAAAGAGATATGTAGTTTTCTACTAAGTATCCTTGGTAAAAATTAAAATGGTACATTTTATTTCATAGATAAATATAAGAAATGGTCTTCTTACTAAGCATTGTTTTTAAATAATGCAAAGAAAGATTTAAACAGATAAATACCTAGATATAACAGGCAATTTTCTCATTGTTATCTGTTCAAAATCACTTCTTAAAATTAAGTTCTTTTAGACTCTGAACTCGCCAAAGGCACAGAATATCAGTCCCTGAATTTCCTACTCTGTTACTAACCCCATGGGGTGGGATGGTGCAGAGACCAGAGGAAGAGGGTTTCAAGAACCAAATCTGAACACAGAATGTTTCCCTAGAGAAACTATGATAAAAAATTTGTAACTCAATTAATACTATTAGTACTGTTTAATAACAAATTTTGGTTCAAAAATCCTTCAAACTTTTTAAAGTTAGATATTTAAATTAATTTCTGGAACACATTTTTAATGATGTCTACCTAAAATGCTTATATTCTAATTTAGATTAGTTCATTTCTGTGCATATTTGTTTGGCTGAGGTGGGTAGGTCATAGTTAGGAATTAATTCAGGCAACAAAGAGAGGGTAGCATCAGGAAGAACAGACATGGGTGTAATTTAGACAGGTGAAGGTGATAAGCAAAGGTTAAAAATTGCTAGGTTAGAACATGGGGCATATATAATAAAAGTAAATTTTGCTCAGCTGGAAATGTCTTTTTTTGTGGTGGTAAATTTTACAAAATAGTAATTAGTCTTTATTTCCAGTGATACACTTTTTCACAGAGTGAATAGTGATATTAAATATATTAATAGAAATTTAATATACCGAAATGAAACTTATTTACATTTTATAGAAAAGATGGTGTTAGTAGTTTCAGCTTAAAGAAAGTTGAACAGAATTAGTAGGGTTTTAAAATAAAGTTCACTTACACGATAGAAAATGCCCAGTCTTTCTGATAAGAAAACAGTTTTCACCACTTATTCACACAATCAGAAAATTTGGGCAGGAAAGGTAATAAAAATACAGGTAATAATCAATGATGTTGAATGCTTTTGAAAAACTGTTCCCATAATTGTACAATTATAGAACTAGCATCTGAAGAAGCACAAATACTGTTTGTAATAATTAAAATTTAAAAAAGGCTATAATCTTTATCAAATGAAATTTGCATCTTGGTAAATTCCATCTTGCTTATATATCTTCAATGTGGATGAAAAAGCATAATGTCAGTAGCAGCATTAAGTGAAATGCACCCTGTTATGCTCATTGCCTACACTGCCCTGCCCTCTGGTGGCTACGTACCAATGGTGCGCTTGGCGGGACCCCTGCCGACCAGGTGGCTGGGGCTACTTTAGGCTGCCAGTTGGCTCCACCAGTCAACTTTCTCTCTCCAGCATTCCACTGAAGATCGCCCCTAAAATCAGGCATGCAAAACAAACAAAAAACCCAGAAAACACACTAATCAGAAAAAAATGGTGTGTGGCTCCTTAGATACTTTTATTTGAGCTTAGAAGCAGTCTACTGGAGTCAAATGGTAACAAAGAGAAGAGGTTAAAACTTAGAGCCGCGTCTTACCATACTATATCTAAGAAAGCTTAAAATCATTTGAAAATCATTTAGAGTTTGGACCTCAATGATAACAGGAATTTCCTATCACTTCTAATAGAATATGCCATAAAATTCAACTGAATTCCTCACTGGTTATAAAAATTTCCAAATAAGTATATCATAAATACTGTATATCTATACTTTGTTGAATTTAAGATACATCCATGATGGCACTTTCTGGATCTAGTTTACCATCTATTGTAAAATGCATTCCGATTTCAGAGATGTTAAAATATGCATCTAAAAGGAAGGGTACATTGTTTATCATTCTTTTTATTCTTACTTAAAATGGATCCTCCATGAGAGACTTTTTAAAATCAATGTTTATTTGGAATATTGTAATGAATCCAGTACTTAAAGCTATTAAAATATTCAAACCACAATTTCCAAATATTTCTAGGTATAACTTAGTGACAGTCTTGGAGACTGAAAGAGATTATTCCTTTTCATTGCAGAGCCAACAGTTTGGAGGTTCCAGTATTACTAACAACAAAAACAGAAATCCAGAATGAAATGAAACCATTTTGAAATTACCTAGTCTGAGAATGAGTAATTACTTCAATGAGACAACGTTTGATAGTTGCAAATAAATACAAATATATTGCCAAAAGAAAACAGATAATTTCAAAAACACTTACTTTTTGGATGTCGTACCAGAAATTCCAAGATCTATAAATGGAAAAAAGAAAAAAAAATTTAAACCTCTATACTCAACTTAAATGATATGACATTTAAAAGATCAAAGAATCAGAGGCCTAGAAAATGTCCATATTTTGTCCAGGAATGACTATCTGCAGTTCTACAAAGGAAAAACTATGTCAGGAAACATATTCAGAAATCTAACATTTTTTCTTACTTCAGGTTATATTTAAGGATTGCCTTTTAATGTCAACTGGTGTCTAGAAAAGAGTAAACACTGCAGGCTTGAGAACACAGCTGGCATCTGGGAACCTGGCTAGTAAAACTGTTCTCTACACTGAGATAAAACTTTTCCTAGTGATAAGGAAGGCTTACTGTGTCTAAACTGTTTGTACAAACACCATGGTTTATGCTGAAAACCTGCTTTCCTTCCGCGAGATGGAAATCTCAGTTCACACTAGGCAGAGAGTGCCTCCAGGACCAGCATCCAATAAAAACCCTGGGTGCTGAGCCTCAAAAGGGCTTCCTTGGGCACAAATATCACACGCACGGCCACATCTCTGTGTGTTCCTCCCCTCATGGGGAGGAGAGAACATAAGAAAGTCTGCGTGTGGATTCCGCTTATGCCCTTTCCCCTGAGAACCCATCCGTGTATCCTTCTGTCCTGCTGTTAAGTCCTAGTTGTGAGCACAACTGCATAACGAGGCCCGTGAGTCCTTCTAGTGGATCTATGAGTGTGAGGGTGGTCTTGGGGACCCCCTACACAACTGGCGTAAATCATTCTACTCTTATCTCCATTCATTTATTGCTTCATTTATTGAGCTCTACCTTATGCCAGACACTGTTCTAAGCACTTGGGATGCAATAGTGAAGAAAACAAAGACCCCAGTACTGGAGGAACTTGCCTTTTAATGGGGTGAGATGGATAATAAAATAATAAATAATGTAAATTATACACGTTGCTAGAAGGTGATATGGCAAGCCTAGCCTATGGAAAAATAGGGAAAAATGAAAAGGAAGAGCAGGCTGTGGGAGGTCTGGTGGAACAGGATGACAGTGAGGGGCAGAGAGTATTAAATGCTCAGGGAAGGTGACTGGACTGAAGATGGCAGTGTGACAGGTGAGACAGAGGCTTCCTCCCAAAACCGCATATAATACAAAAATATGATTAATACAACTAATCCTGAAAGAGCAACAGGAAAGAGGGCTGCGCCACACTGCATACACCTGGGGAAAATAAACCTCATGGAACAGAGTAACATACCAAAGCCATGGCCCGGTGGGACCCAAGCTCTTCCCCCCCACCCCAGCTCACCGGCGGGAGGATGAGGAACAGAGCAGGGAGGAGGGAGTGGAGGCCTGAGACTGCTGAATACCTAACTCCAGAGATCTGCTCTGGGAGCACAAACCTATACTTCATGGTGCTTTCATGATACTCTTGTGATTAGGGGATTGGAAAGCTGGGACAGGCAGAATTCCTGGAGAGACTGAGATTCTGGCCGCTTGTGGAAAGCAGGGATCCATATCCAGCCACTCTGGGACAAAAGAAAGGCAGGCAGTCTGAGAGACTTCCTAACAGCAAGAGGGCTGCTAAAGGGGCAAGGATTGCACAGAACATGCTGCTCAGGAGAAAGGACAGGTAGACAAAAATGTCCGGGTGCACTCTGCCCATCAGGTTGGGAACTTTCACGAACTTCAGACGCTCCAGCTCCCTGGCTGGCTACACAGCTCCAAGGACCCCCTCTGTGATACACAGCCTACTGCACCTTTCTCCTGGCCAGCCCCACCTGGCTCACAAACTGGTAAACCCCACCCTGGCATTAGGTGAGCCAGAGGTAAACCCTGCCTAAACCAGCTACAAACACCAAGCATAGAGGATTATACCTGTGTGTTTGGCCCACTGGTTCTGGCAGTGGAGACAGGCATAGCAGCAGGGAAGCAGGAAACAGCTCTTTCCTCACTCCAGGTACCAACACCGTTTCCCTGCAACCCCCAACATTGCTCCAGGGACTGAGCAGCTCCAGAAAGTAGAGCTTCTGGCCACTAGAGAGTGCCACATACAGATATGAAACATCAAAGGAACCTGGTTCAAAGCAAAATTATGAATACACTAGAGAAAGATTCGAATGAAATCAACCTCATGAATCTTCCTGAAAGAGATCTCAAAATAAAAATTATTAACATGCTTATAGAGGTACAGAAAACAAGAACTCAGGAATGATTCTAGTCAGAGATCCAATCATTATGGAACACAGTATCAGAAATGAAACATACAATGGAAGGTTTTAAAAGCAGATTAGATACAGTGGAGAAGATGGTAACTGAAATAGAAACTAGAGAAGAGGAATACAAAGAAGCTGAGGCACAGAGAAAAAAAGGATCTCTCAGAATGAAAGAATATGGAGAGAACTGTGACCAATCTATATGGAACAATATTTGTATTATAGGGGTACCAGAAGAAGAAGAGAGAGAAAAAGGGATAGAAAGTGTCTTTGAGGTGGTCATTGCTGAAAACTTCCCCAATCCGGGGAAGGAGATAGGCTCTCAGGCCACAGATGTGTACAGATCTCCCAACACAAGGGACCCAAGGAAGACAATACCAAGACATATAATAATTAAAATGACAAAGATCAAGGATAAGGACAGACTATTAAAAGCAGCCAGAGAGAGAAAAAAGATCACATACAAAGGAAAGCCCATCAGGCTATCAGACTTCTCAGCAGAATCCTCACAGGCCACAAGGGAGTGGCATGATATATTTAACGCAATGAAGCAGAAGGGCATTGAACCAAGAATACTCTATCCAGCAATATTATCAATTAAATTTGAAGGAGGGATTCAACAATTTCCAGATAAGCGAAAGCTAAGAGAATTTACCTCACACAAACTGTCTCTACAGTATATCTTGGAGGGACTGCTATAGATGGAAGTGTTCCTAAGGTTTAATAGCTGTCACTAGAGGTAGTGAAACCACAGTAAAGAAAGTAGAACAGTTAATTACTAAGCAAATGCAAAATTAAATCAAGTATCCCAAAAGTCAATCAAGGGATTACTTACAGAATATGATAAAGTACAGAAATGTACTTTACAAAAGTAAAGAAAAAGTACAGAATATGATACATAATATATAAAGAATGGAGGAGGAATAAAAAGGAGGAGAAAAAAGAACCTTTAGATTGTGTTTGTAAAAGCATACTAAGTGCATGAAGTTAGACTCTTAGATAGTAAGGAAGTTAACCTAGAACCTTTGGTAACCATGAATCTAAAGCCTGCAATGGCAATATGTACATACCTATCGATAATCATCCAAAATGTAAATGGTCTGAATGCACCAATCAAAACACACAGAGTCACTGAATGGATAAAAAAATAAGACCCATCTATATGCTACCTACAAGAGACTCACTTTAAACCCAAAGACATACACAGACTAAAAGTGAAGGGATGGAAAAAGATATTTCATGCAACTAATAGGGAGAAAAAAGGAGGTGTTTCAGTACTTATATCTGACTAAATAGATTTCAAAACAAAGAAAGTCACAAGAGACAAAGAAGGACATTACATAATGACAAAGGGGTCAATCCAATAAGAAGATATAATCATTATAAATACCTATGCACCCAACACAGGCGCACCTACATATGTGAAAGAAATACTAACAGAATTAAAAGAGGAAATAGAATGGAATGCATTCATTATCGGAGACTTCAACACTCCACTCACTCTGAAGAACAGATCAACCAGACAGAAAATAAGTAAGAAGACAGAGGCACTGAAGAACACATTAGAACAGATGGACCTAACAGACATCAACAGAACTCTATACCCAAAAGCAGCAGGATATACATTCTTCTCAAGTCCACACAGAACATTTTCAAGAATACATCATATACTAGGCCACAAAAAGAGCCTCATCAAATTCAAAAATATTGAAATTGTACAAACCAGTTTCTCAGACCACAAAGGTATGAAACTAGAAATAAATTATGCAAACAAAATGAAAAATCCCACAAATACATGGAGGTGTCACAACATGCTACTAAATAACCAATGGATCAATGATCAAATAAAAACAGAGATCAAGTAATATATGGAGACAAAGGACAACAATCACTCAGCATCTCAAAATCTTTGGAATGCAATGAAGGCTGTGCTGAGAGGAAAGTATACTGAAATACAGGCAATGTACAGGCCTACCTCAGGAAAGAAGAACAATCCCATATGACAGTCTAAAGTCACAATTAACGAAACTAGAAAAAGAAGAACAAATGAGACCCAAAGACAGTAGAAGGAGGGACATAGTAAAAATTAGAGCATAAATAAATAGAATTAAGAAGAATAAAACAACAGAAAGAATCAATGAAAGCATGAGCTGGTTCTTTAAGAATATAAACAAAATAGGTAAACCCCTAGCCAGACATACCAAGAAAAAAAGAGAGTCTGCACACATAAACAGAATCAGAAATGAGAAAGGAAAAATCACTACGGACACCACAGAAATAAAAAGAAGTATGAGAGAATACTATAAAAAATGATATGGTAACAAACTGGATAACCTAGAAGAAATGGACAACTTTCTAGAAAAATACAACCTTCCAAGGCTGAACCAGAAAGAAACAGAAAATCTAAACAGACCAACTGCCAGCAATGAAATTGAATTGGTAATCAAAAAACTACCTAAGAGCAAAACTCCTGGACCAGATGGCTACACCACTGAATTTTATCAAACATTTAGTGAAGACCTAATACCCATCCTCCTTAAAGTTTTCCAAAAAGTAGAATAAGAGGGAATACTCCCAAACTCATTCTATGAGGCCAGCATCACTCTAATACCAAAACCAGGCAAAGACACCACAAAAAAAGAAAATTACAGACCAATATCCCTAATGAACATAGATGCAAAAGTATCAGCAAACCAAATTCAAAAATACATCAAAAAGATCATCCGTAATGATCAAGTAGGATTAATTACAGAGGTTCAAGGATGGTACAACATTAAAAAATCCATCAACATCATCCACCACATCAAC